AGCTCGGAGCCTGGAGCCTGCTTCGGATTCTGTACCTCCTTGTCTCTCTGCCCCTCCCCCCTCATGCTCTGTTTCTCTCTGTCTCAAAAATATATAAACATTTAAAATAAATAAATAAATAAAAATACATATTGGACCCTCCATCCTTTCAGTATAATTGTGCAATGGCTCCTCATAACCTTCGGAATAAAGCTCAGATTTCTTGATCTCAAAGCCTGAGATGCCAAGCTATCAGAAAGCACAGGCCCAATTAAACAGTGATATGCATTTCTCCACACTTCTTAAATTGCATAGTAAAAACATATTACACTGAATATTTTAACCTGTTTTGCAATTTCTCAGAGAAATAGAGATATTATTATATAAATCACTCGTTGGATGTTTTTTTTGGTGGGGAGAGAGTGGAAAATAGAATTGAATAAATGCTTGTTAATGCTGTTTATATATAGTACTTGGATTAACAAGCCTTTTGAAAGATCAGTACTTTACATATCTTATACAAACTGATTTAAAATCTCGGGTTGTACATATCTAGATTGCATCTAGTATTTAATCACTTGGACATTTACAAATAATGGGTAAACGATTTGTTGTTATATAGAGTTGAGCTCTGCTTTCCACGCAGTGAGAATAACATTTTTATTTTAACACTTATGCAATTGATTGTAAACTTTGGGGCGATATAATTTAAGTGGATCTGAACAGTCCATTAGCCATGTCAGGACATGCCCTCTTGCCAAGCTGCAGCTTTATGCTAAGCTGTTGTGTACTCTGTTACATAATCCCCTGCATTTATTTTCTCTACCTATTTAGCTTGAATACATACAAGGTGACTGCATTGTCTCTTCAACCTCCTTCTCAGTGTAAACACTAAGTATAGAAAACAGATTTGGGGCAATATTACAGTTTTCTAATGGAGAGGTTGGAGAATTGGATGGGCTTAGAAATGTGTTTGTCACTATTGAGTTTGTTGCCTTTTAGTTATGTTCATTGTCAATTTCGTATGGTTTTCAAGGTGATAAGACCATGCTTAAGCTTTGGCTCAGAGGGAAATTAAGACAGATTGGGATTTTAGGAGAACATCAGTTGTGAGAGTATGCAAAGGAGCATTTTTTTTTTTTCAAAGTCCTCACTTTTTCTCCTTCTGTGGCCCTCATTTGCTCCTTTAAAGACAGGGTCATGCACTGCCAATTCCTCTCCTTCCTACACAGTCAGGAGGAAAGCATCCCGCACCTCAAAAATGTTACAGTTTTGCTCATCTAGAATATGACTCAGAGAGTAGCTTTCCATTGTCTATTGTATGTTGATATGTGGAAGAGATACCAGCATCTGGGGTGACACTCTTGGTGGTCTCTGCCAGCTCTGGGAAGAGGCGAACTGGGAGAAGTTATCATTGAATGAAGAGATTGGGAAGGTTGTGAATTGTTACAGCATTTTCATTACATACTTGGAAAAGAACCTGCTCCAACATAAAAATCCTTGCTTGACTAATTTGCATACAGATTAGCATACATATGCATGTGGTTTACATAGATGATTCTCACATTGGTTTTATTTCTTGTTTGTTTATTGTGATATTTTCTTCTCTACAATGATGTAATTTTTCTCCTTTGGACTTCCACATAAAATAAGTCATTTTGCTTTAAATACACCCAAATTCCAAGGGGGAAAGGGAAATACTACTTTTGGTGAGCAATTGCGATTTACATAACATTAGGGGGAATAGGTTTCTGGATCAATTTATCCAAGGTTTGGGATGGTTTGTGAGTTAACGTGTGGTTCTGTGGAATCATTCATGCCTTTTGAGTAGTAGAGTAGGAACATGAGGCACACCCAGAGCAATGGGCAAAAGCATATTTAGAGAAAAGTCCAGATAGGCACCAGAAGTCCAGAGTAACACAGACTGACTGTGGTCTTAGGTAACTCACTTATTCTTAGTTTTTAGTTTCTTTCATGATGAAATAAGGGCGTTAAATCAGGCAGGCTCTAAAATCTCCTACAAGCTCCAAAACTTATTATTTTTATATACTCCTTGGCTTAATTACATGACAAACATTAAGCACCACATAGCACATCAAATGATATCCTGGTGCCTTAGTGTTCTCTGTCAAGCCTTCCCCCTTTGAGGGGTACTCAGTGTTTAATTTAGGCTTCTGTAGAGGCACTCATTTCCTTGTTCATGTATCTCAGTTCAGTGGGCACATAAGGTATAACTTAAATGTTTATAGAAGACACCCGTTGATATACCACCTGTGATGCCAAGAACAGGCATAGTGGTTGGCTCCGTGTACATTTGCATCCACAGAAGAGTCTAGTTGTGATAACTGCATATGATTTGCTGTCTTTTCCTCTAGCTCAGGCTTACCTCCTGGTGTGCTGAACAAAGGCTCATCCAGTTGCATTTTAACAAAACCATTTCTTCAGAAATTAGGGGAGAGATCATGAGAATAGACAGGGCATTAGGGGGTTGGACAGATCTGTTTCAAACATACAGATGATATCAAATTGCTGCTCCATGATTTTATGTTTTTGGCTATTTTTGGTAACATGCATTAGACATGGCTAATATGCCAAGTAGTACTTGCTACTTACATATGTGTAGGAGACATCATGGTCACTCATAGGTTAGTAGGTCTTCTTGCTTATACTTATATAGTGGTAGTGGCGGTGTGTGTGTGCATGGATGCAAACTGAAATATGCAGGTAGACACATACCCTTGAGATCCTCTGGAACACCCAGGATGAACCTGATCTTTAACTCTCTGGAGTATGAAGTTGAGGTCCATGTTTTAATGATGTCTTGACGCTATGATCATTTTCATGTAGTATGTAGTGGGTATTCATCTCTCCCACATAAGAGTGAGCCCTTCAATGAGAAAGAATGAAATCTGGCCATGTGTAGCAACATGGATGGAACTCAAGGGTGTTATGCTGAGTGAAATAAGTCAGGCAGAGAAGGACAAATACCATATGTTTGCATGTATTGGAGTGTTAGGAGGAACTTAACGAAGGACCATGGTGGAGAAGAAGGGGAAAAATAGTGGGGGAGAGGGAGGGAGGCAAACCATGAGAGACTCTTGAATGCCGAGAACAAACTGAGGGCAGATGGGGTGGGGGGAGGGGAAGGGGGATGATGGGCATGGAGGAGGGCACTTGTGGGGATGAGCACTAGGTGTCATATGGAAACCAACTTGACAATAAACTATTAAAAAAAAAAAGAGTGAGCCCTTTATAGCTCTTAGCTAATGATGAGAATATATTTTACTTAAGCGACTTACCAAGGGCTGTGATAGTTGATAAGGAGCTAAGTTGAGGTAGGATTGACTTTGGTTACTAAGGCTGAAGTGCAGTTCTAGAAGAGAAAATAGAATGTGCTCGACCTTATTTGGTAGCCCCCTTTCTTGAATGGGAAACTGGATATCAAACCTTTTATTGTTGCCCATTTACTTTCATTAATGATGTGCTTTTGATAGCTTTTGGCCAACCCTGATATGAAGTAGGCCTGGCAGGAGGAGACATGGAAGGCCACAGAGTGTGTGTTGAAATTATAAGTTAAACCAACAAATGAAAATACAACATGTTTATCCCCTTACCTTGACAAATATACCTTTGAAACTACGTGGTAAGCCAGGTGCACACTTAGAATTTTTGGATTTCTCAGAGTGCTGCGCTGGGAAATGCTGGCGTAGGGAGAACCAGCCCCTCTGGTTGTTGGCCTGTGGTCTTCCCCCGCCCCCTTTCCATCTCTGGCTCCACACTGTATCCACAAGGGCTCTGGTTGAAATGCACATGGATGCCCATGTGGCCACGCTCAGACCAAACCCCTGCGAAGGGTCCTCCGTTGCTTGTCCTTAGACCGTAAGGTATGCACACTGGTGGCATGATTTGCTGTTGGAAAATGAGTCCAGGTAAGAGGCCTGCACAAGCCTTGGAAACAGGCCTGGGTAGGAAACTAGAGGATTCCAGTTTATGGCTCTGAAAGAGAGTCTCACTCTAGTGGAATGCCATCTTAGCCCTGTAGACCCCTAGTCCTATGGTGGAAAGACGTTCTCTAGGATGGTCCAACCAGGGCCATCTAAATCAGAGACCCCTGGAGCAGAGATCCCTTTGAGTCTAGGGGAGCTCTTGCTGTCTTCTGAAAGCACAGTATCAAATTTCATTCTATCCCTTTTTCTTCATCTGCTTGATCACCTTTTTTTCTGGTCCAGCCTCCTATTTAATAACCCTGTCACATTCCCCTGGGCTCAGGACTCTACCATGGAAACCAAAGTTAGCTGGGTTATTGATGGATGGAAATTAGAGACAGATCTTTCAGGGTAATTGATTTTTAGTTATTGGTCAATAAAAGGTACCTAGAGCTAAAGAACCCTTTGTCAGAAGAGTTAATTATCCATTCTAAACCAGCTCTGGCAGAAGCATCGAAAAGCCATCATGGAAGCAAAAGCAGTGTAAGCCTCACTTTACCATGTAGCATAAAATTGCCCTCTAGGTTTTCCTCTGAGAAAATGTGAAGGAAAGGCAGCAAGCCCTTTTGGACCTCTGTGCTGGTCTTCTGCCCTTGTGAGGAGACGTAGTTTCTTTGCAGTTACTGTCTCTAGTGGTTTCCCTGGTGCCTTGACACAGGTTTGGTGGAAGAGTCTGAGGGAGCTGGAGCTGCTGTCAGCTCACTGGCACGGGCAGTGCCCTGGGGGATGTGTTCTCTTTGGTGTTTGTGTACATCTGACTCCTTGCAGTCAAGTGTTGATGGCTGTCCTCTTTCCTTTTCGTGCAGCTCGAGAGGAAAACGTGGCCACGTTCCGAGGCTCAGAGTACCTGTGCTACGACCTGTCTCAGAACCCGATCCAGAGCAGCAGTGATGAAATCACCCTCTCCTTTAAGACCTGGCAGCGGAATGGGCTCATCCTGCACACGGGCAAGTCGGCTGACTATGTCAACCTGGCTCTGAAGGATGGCGCGGTCTCCTTGGTCATTAACCTGGGGTCCGGGGCCTTTGAGGCCATCGTGGAGCCAGTGAATGGAAAATTCAACGACAACGCCTGGCACGATGTCAAAGTGACACGCAACCTTCGGCAGGTAATGGCTGAGGGGAGAGGGTGCCCGGAGGCTCCTCTTAGGTAGCTGGGGAGGAGGTTTGTGAAGCAGGTGCTGGATGAGCTGGAGAAGGGTGTAGAACCAGGTTTGGATTTGTCGAAGTCTAATGTTCTCCCAGTCTCTGCAATTCCACAAGGAAAATGATGAAAATATGTTTCTCCTCATACTTCAGTTCTCTACTTGTGCTTTTTTTTTTCCAGAAGAAAATTCAGTTGTATAGATAATAAAAGTTAAAAGTACTTTCATTCCTTTTATTCTGCTTTCTTTTTTATCATTTTCTTAATTACATTGGAATCTTGTTGTGTTACTGTTAAATTCAATTAGGGATGGCATTTTGTTTCCGCAGCTTGCTAGATTTTCCTCATTTTTTGAATATATGTTTTTCTTTTTAATTAAGTTAGCCGTTGTCATGGTGCCATGATTTTAATTCCTTCCAGAAAGAGCTTCCTTTTTCTTGTCCTTTTAATTTACCACCTCTCCTCCACTTTCATTCCCCCCCCCATTGTTATGTTAACCTCTAGTCTTCAAATGAACTAGCTGGAATCTTTCTGAATTCCTCTGTTTTTCTGTTCCTTGGTGTGCTGCTCCTACTTTATTGCCCCTGTCTCTACCTCAGAGACTCTTCAGTTGACTGGGAGGCCTGGAAAGTGGAAGGACCCAAATAAAAATGTCAACTTTGGAGCAGCCTTTCCTGGTTCTGTTCGAGCTTGAGAACTCCCATCGCTTGCTGATTCTGAGCAGGCGGCTCCGTCAGGTGACAACACTCTCAGAAAGCCTTAGCCACGTGAAGTCATTTTCAATCTCATAACTAATAAGAATAGTCACACCAGTAATAATATTAACACCTCAACCACATCAGTGAAGAGAAAAAGCGTTTCCTCTAAAAGTCTAGGTCTGAACTGACAATGCCTTTTCCAGGTTGCTATTTCCACTTGGTGTTTCTCCTTCTGAATTAGTCATTAAACCCCGTTAGATAGCATTCAGTCTTTATTAATCAGAAAACATTATGCAAATTTCCAGAAAGTGCATATCAAATTTTCTTCTGCAATATGATTGATTCAGTGCCTTCTGATGTAAATATGAAAGCGTAAGAAACTGACAGGTGTTTGCATATGTTTTCCATTTGATAAAAGTGTAACTCCTTAATATTTCTACGTGAATGGAGAAGGCTCACACACACTGGGAACACACAGTATTCAAAAGAGCCGTTTTTGCACTTAGGTATGTTGAGGAAGGCCCCTCTATTCTGTCTGCCGTGACGTTACCAAATAACCCAAGACTTAGAGCCCCCAGTCACATAATGCCTATGGATGGGATGTTTTTACACTTGGTCTTAGTCAGAAGGCTGAGAAGTGATGGATGGGACATTTTTGAATCACTGTTCTATTTTTCTTCTAAGACCAAACAGTCCAGTTGCCGATGTTTTCTTTAATAATCTGCCATACTTACACAGCTCTGCTGTCAAGAGGGCCCAGTCGAATTTCCGTTTGCTAACATAAAAGGGTGTGATGTATTTGAGTTGCAGAGACCAGACCAAAAAATAAAATATAACCTTTTTGCCAGTTTTGACTGGCGGTACACAGGAATACCTTTTAGGCTTTAGTCACCAGAGGGGAGAATTTTCATGTATTGGAGAGCAGGGTCAGGCTGTGTTTCTTACCAAGCAGCCTGACTCCCTGATTCTCTCCTACTCTGTACACTTCCTTGCCATGATTCCAATTAGCTGGAGAAAGGCTCACTTTTATTTCTACTGAAAACACTTCTCTAAAATAGGTTTGGGCCCCAGTTCTATCCTATAAACTGAGCGGGGGATAAACTAAAGTGTTACTCAAACATTGGTTGTGCTGTTTCAGTCAGCGAGCAGAGGAGAGCAACCCTGGAGGGTTTCTCTTCCGTGTTCTAAGACCCAGCTCCCTCAGTGCCCTTGGACAAGCCATCTCACCTTTCCACACCACAGTTTCCATTTGTGAGTGGTGATTACAGTCCTCCCCAGCCATGTGTGGTGGCTAAATATGCAAAACACCTTATGCTCCAGAAGGATTATGAGCTCTCCATGGTCTGGGTGCTGGACTCACTGTGACACACGCACGATTTACAAGCAGAGTATTCTGTCATGAAGGTGACTGTGTCTGTCTGTCACTGACATTGTAGCTAAGCAGAGCTCTCAGTTCTGGACAAAGCTACAGAGGCCCTAGGGTGTTGGGGCATTTCTTGGCAGAGGGAATACATAGAGAGAATGCACCTAAAATTGGACTTCATTGAAATCCTGACTGAATTTTGCATCTAAATGCAATTTATTGAAAGAGAAGGAAATCTCAGAAAACCAGAGTTGATTTTGCAAATGTAATCCTTTCCGTGCTGAATCATCTAAGATGATTATTTTGCCCATTAAGAGTACATTTATAACATCTTTTTTAGTTCTGTAGGATACATTTGAAGGGGTTGGAAGCCCCTGTCTGTTTCAATTAAACTGTAAGTTGCTTCATAAATATTTGATAACAAGCCTGTGACTGTCTCATGTACTTTTTTGGTAAGGTCAAACGGCTTCTGTGGCAAAAATTCATCTGAGGAATGCTTACTTGGACTTTCCTGGAGTATTCATTACTAAATGGAGCAGAACTTTGCCCATTTCTTCCTTCTTGGTCATATACTCATGATTCCACCTATGAGCTGAGTCAGAACCAAAGCCAGATACTTCAGGGGAGGGTTCTGCTTCAAGGAAGGAATGTTGACTGCCTGCTCCGAGCTATAACTGGGATTAGGGACCAAGGTTGTGATGCATTTCTCTGGGTGTGTTTTCAGTTTTGTTTTAACGTCCATGACCTTGAACATGGCCCTCATGTAAATTGCTTTAGCTGTAACGCCACCTTAGTCAAACCACGAACACAAAACTGGGGTTCCCAGTCTTCCAGTGTTCCAGCTTTCCAGCCTCCCACCCAGATCAGGGTGTGGTGGCGATTGAGCACTTGAAAATAGTGAGTGGAGACTAATCGTAGGGCTTCTTTAATCATGTTTAACCTGCCAGTCCCGTCTGCTATCCATAGGAGAAATTGCTTCAAAGCTCGAAAAGCATTTTCTAAAGGAGAATGGGGTAGAGCCACTCCAACGGGAAGCATTCTGGCAAAGAAAACAAAATAATTACTGCATTGGGTAGTAAAGAAGACTCCAGCTATTTTGATGCATTCCGGCAGTACAGTTCTTGTAAACCAAGGGGAAAGAGGAGGGTGTCCCTCTCCTGCTGCACACATCCACACCAAATCAAGGGAGTCATGGGTCTTTAATTACCTCTGGAAACCCAGAGTACGCCACAGAGTTGTAGCCTTCCTATGCTCGATGTGACCTGTAAATGCTTTCAGTTTTTTTGGGGTGTTTTTTTTTTTTTTTTTTTTGGTTGTTGTCATTCTGTTGAAAGTCATGATCATCCATGTATTTAGTCAGAGTCAGATATTTAAAAAAAAAAAATCCCAGAACATTGGTATTTGAGCTCTGTCTATTGACCTACACGTGAAATGGTAAACTTCAGGGGTATTTTCTTTCAGGATAGGTGGACTGTGCATGTGCTAGGGGGTGGGAAGGGAAAGGGGGGTATTCATTCAGAAGAGCCCTTGGAAAGTAAGTATGACGCTAATTCTAACTGGGGTGAGGTGTGGTCTGAGTGGAATTCGGAAGAAGGGGGTCAAGTGACAGGGTGGACTGCAGCTCCTTTCCTGGCTGCCGAGGGTTTCCATAGAGTCTTGGTCTCATTGTCTTTCCCACTCTCTTTTTCTGTGTCGGGTGCCTTTTTTTTGAAAAACTAACACAAGATCATTCATGCAATGTGTCATTTTACTAACCGACTAATGTACTAACACCCTAACGACTCATCTTTGTTTTTAGTTTTTTTAATTAACAATCGTTCTGTTCACAATTTTTAATTTCCTTTCTTCCCCCTTTTCCGCAAAGCACTCAGGCATCGGACACGCTATGGTAAACAAACTACATTGTCTGGTAGATATCATTCTTATTGTCTCTTTTTTTGGGTTTGCCGTGTGTTGCCCCCCTTTTCCTCCCCAAACCCCCCTTTTATCCTCCTTAGACTTGTTTCTTCTTCTTTAAATTTTTTTTTTTTTGTTGAATTAAATGCAAGTCTTTTTGTTGTTGTTGTTAAAAAAATAAAAGTAAAAAAGGAAGGGGACGTGCCATCCCTGGAAATAATATTTGGACGAGTTTGGTTGGGACGGTTTCCTTTTCTCTACTTTGTCATTTTTTTCCCCTAAAAATATTTTTTTTAAAGAAAGATTCTCCATTTAGCTAAATTTATTTTGTTTTGTTTTCTTATTTTGTAACTTCCAAGTCACAGACGAGGGACAACAGGATTTCTACTGAGGACTTTCTTCTCTGTCTTCCTATCTCTCTCACTCTCACTCCTTTCTTTTCCCCCCTCCCTCCTCCTTAATCCCTTTTTTCCTTCCCTTTGGTGTGGCCACGGCTGCCGCAGGTGATCTGGGGAGGACAGTGCTCCCCTCTCTGTCTCTAGTCGTTTTTTCCCTGCTTTCACCTCACTCCCACCGTGGCCGCAGGGAGTTCTGCCAGTGTGTTCTCCATACATCCTCTGCATGGCATGTTCCTGTCTCGTGGATTCCGCATCAACATCAGAATTTGTCCCACTCCCCCCATTTTCCTCCTCATTACTAACAACCTGCTGCTCATCGGCCCAATTCCACTCTCTTCTCTTTCTTTATTTTTGTCTCCACTCTTCGTCATTCTCCTTTCATCCTTCATATATTTTGGGGTTGGGTTTGGACTTTTTCTTTTCTTTTTTTTTTTTTTTAGTGAGGGAGGTGGCAGGCAGGGGAACGATGACCCTTTGGTTCCGAATGTTTTGTTTTGTGTTTACTTCCATCTTGTGTTGCGGTTTCTTCAGTGCATGTACGTGTGAAGTGGATTTTGACTCTTCCCTTTGGTTCTCCTCACCCCTGCCCACTTTCCCTCCCCTTTTTCTTCTGCCTTTTCTCTTGGCTCCTGATAGTTTTCGCATGGGTGTGTTAGCGTATGGTGTGTGCACGCTTTGAGGCCCCATCTTTTCTATCTGCCCTCTGCTCCTTTCATGGATGTTGGGTGTGTGGGTGCTATTTCTTCCCTGTGGGCATTATTATTTTTATTTTGGTTAATATGCGTCATATTCCTTTCTTTTTGTTAGAGTTGCCTTTTTGGTTTGGGTCATTTCTTCTTTTGGTGGTGGTGATGGCAGCGAAGGGAGGGCAGGGGCTGGTGTCCTGGGGTCGTCCATGGCATGTATCATCCATGACACATCAAAACCGCAACCCTTCCCCTTCCTTCCCCGAATGCATGTTTGTCAGTGTGGTGTGAGCCCCAAAAGAAATGAATAAAAAAGAAAAGAAAAAGAAAAGAAAAAAGGAAAAAAAAACATCCACAACCAAAGACCAACCCTCACAAACCCCATCGTCAAATGTCTCCTTTGCTGTTTTTCACTACCACCGTAAATAACAGTCGCTCAAAAAATAAATGAAAATTTTACCAATGCTCTGAGACAAGTGATGTCATCTGAGGATAGTTCCATTTTCTAGCCTGACTGAATAAAGAGCACAGTGGGTAGAGCAAGTTGCCCCTTTTGGCAATTCCACCAAAGTCTCCCGGGAGTCTGCAGAGGAGTGCTGGAGGCTTGGGTCACAGGGAGGGCAGACCAGAAAATGGAACTTGGCTGCATATACCCAAATCAAACCAAATTAGAAAAAAATACCTCACCAAAATCTTAATGAAAGTGATGCCACAGGTAGGGGAAGCCGCTGGAGTTTGATTGGACTGTAAAGTCATTGTTGGGATTTTCTTTTGTCCCTATGTCCCTCCACCAGGTGACAATCTCTGTGGATGGCATTCTTACCACGACGGGCTACACTCAAGAGGACTACACCATGCTGGGCTCGGATGACTTCTTCTACGTGGGAGGAAGCCCAAGTACTGCTGACTTGCCGGGCTCCCCCGTTAGCAACAACTTTATGGGCTGCCTTAAAGAGGTAAAGGTCACACCATCTCTTTAATGTCCCAAGAACAAATGAAATTTCCAGTTCAGTGAGGGGCTCTGTACTTTAGTCCGTTCTTTGAGGCCATAGATTTAGCAAAAAGACTTTGGGCTTGAAAGTAGAGGTCCTAGGTTTTGGTTGCCACTTAAGGTGATTGATTGTGTGACCTTGGGTTTACCACTGGCATGATTTGTGGTCCTTTTTTTCTTGTCTGAGTACTGGGGAATCGTATCCCACAGGCAGCTGTGCTTTATAAAGAATAATAACTCTCTCTTAGAAATAAATAAAACATAAAAAAAAAATTAAAAAAAAAATGGGGCGCCTGGGTGGCTTAGTCGGTTAAGCGTCCAACTTTCACTTAGGTCATGATCTTGCGGTTCGTGGGTTCAAGCCCCGCGTCGGGCTCTGTGCTGACTGCCAGCTCAGAGCCTGGAGCCTGTTTCAGTCTGTGACTCCCTCTCTCTCTGACCCTCCCCTGCTCACACTGTCTCTCTCTCTCTCTTAGAAATAAATAAAACATAAAAAAAATTTTTTTTAAAAAAAGAATAATAATAATAATTATTATTATTATCATTATCATCATTATTATTTTAGAGAGTGAGAGTGAGAGAGAGTGCGAGCACACACATGCCTGAGCAGGAGAGAGGCCAGAGAGAGGGAGGGAGGGAGAGAGAGAGAGAGGGATAGAAAATCTTAAGCATGCTGAGCATAGAGCCCAGTGTGGCATTTTGTACTTTTGACTTAGCAAGTAGGGAAGCTCTAGCTCCAAGTGGCTCAATTTGTGGTTGTATGTCTTGTCTAAAACATAACATATGTATTATTTTACCTTTGCTAAGCTTGGTGTTCCCAGGAGTCTCACTATTTGAGATGAAGGAAAATTTTAGAATGTAACATTAAGGTCCAGAAGACTGGTTTTCCTTTTTCTTTTTTCTTTTTCCTCCCCCCCCGCCCCGAAAGCTAGCAGCTGTGAGAAAGCAGTGGGGCTTTGCCATTACTCATTTATTACTATTGTAGCTGATGTGTTGAGACCTCTGTCTGAGAGCAGAGGAGCTTCAGTCAAGTGGAAGTTCAATCTCTAAGGTCCATTGTTGAGGCAAAAAGAATCAGACTTGATTTGGTAGAGTTCTTTCAGAACACTGTGTCATCAGAGCAGTACACTGCACATTTTTGTTTAATCTAAGCTAAGCCTGATTGCCTGAGATATCTATACCACTTCCCTGGGGAAATTCCTTGAGAAGCTAACAGTGTTCTTTCTTGTAGATAAAGATCCCTTGTGACATGTTATGAGACTCCTCTCAGGGCACATGTTTTATTCTTATAATGGTTATTTGAAATTTGCTGAACATCAGTTATATATGAGATGGCATTGCAAATGCATTCAATCATGCCACTCAGCTGTGAGCCATGTCAGGACAGGAGCTGTGTCCGTTGTGCTGGCAGACTGTAGGGACATAATAACTACTTACTGAGTGGATACATTTATCAAATAATCAGTGGGTACCTTTTTTATATTATAACCAAACTTGAGTGGCTCTTTATAAGCCTTGGTTTCCGTGCTTGAAGACTTCATAATCTAGGGAGGGGGAGGAGATCTGCAAGTGAACAGGTACAACTCAAGACACTGTGCATTCAGTGCCACAGATGAAGTGTTCTAATTGCGTGGAGGAAACAGATAAATTTTAGGTGGAAGTCAGTTTCAGAGAAGAATTGCTATTTGAGCTGGGCCTTGGTACAGTAAACATGTGTGAATTGGGAGGAAGGGGGTAAGAAGAAGAGACATGACAAAGGAGGGAAAAATCCAGTTACAGCTCTCTATTGTTCTTGGTCTGAAGGATAAGTTACAGAAGAGAACCCATAAAGTGTTTTCCTCCTTCTGCTGGGGGTTGTCTAGGCTTCTGCCGGCTATAGGGATGCCAGTGGTCATTCCTGATAGAATGGCAGTGGACACAGAGCACTTCTTCTCTGGAATTTACTCCCATGTGGATAGAATAAAGGTATAAACCACTCAACACCTAATGAACCTTGAAAGGCTCTTAAACACTGTTAAATCACACACATTAGAATTGCAGTCTCATCAGAAATAGATAGGAACATTCTGCTACCATGTACGTGGCTCAGGAATGAATGAGGCATTGATTACGGTGGAGAGCTCATCCATTTTCGTAGGGAAACAGGCCTAAGTGTGGAGTTCTCCTGGACAGGATCGAGGGGTGGCCTCTAGAACTAATTTTCCCCTGCACACAATTATATTGAACCATCTCTCAATTATTTATTTTGAGACAAAGGAGCAATTTCCCAACCGCAAATTACAAATCAGAAATGATGCTCCTGAACATTTTGAAACAAGCCTCATAAAAGCATAAAGGTATCTCTGATGGCTTCATCCATGCAAAACTTTAAGTACATAAAATCTGCATGTGCACACATGCACACATGCACACATGCTGCCCAGACAGAGAGCAGAAAGCTTCAAAAGTCTGTGAAAAGTGTCTCTTAATAGCTTAAAAATTAAAGGCACTTCTGCAAAACAGTGTCAATAACAGAAATAGTGGCAATTGGTAGTAAAAATATACACATAGCTAGCAGCATAAGTCTGCACTGAAATCCAGATCAAGTCAGAAAAAGAAAGTCCAGCCCACACTGGGGTAAATGGTATGTGAAATTTAGAATTTCATTAACTTTTACTACCATCTTTTCATTATATACACAGTATTGTAGTGTTTTTAAGGGACTTGGGAAGCTTTCTCATTCATCTGAGTGCTTTTTTAGATTTTATTTTAGAGAGCGAGAGAGTGAGTGAGCGAGCAGGGGAGAGGGGCAGACAGAGAGAGATAGAGACAGACACACACACACGCACACACACACACACACAGAGAGAGAGAGAGAGAGAGAGAGAGAGAGAGAGAAGAGAAAGAATCTTAAGCAGGCTCCATGCTCAACACAGAGCCCAATGTAGGGCTCCGTCCCACAACCCTGGGATCATGACCTGAGCTGAAATCAAGAGTCAGATGCTCAGCTGACTGAGCCACCCAGGCACCCCTCGTCTGAGTGTTTTAAACCAATAACTTTGGGTCTAATGTAGTCCTGGCTTATTCTTTCTTTCCACTTAATCATTGCAGTTCACTTTTTTGTAGGGAAGGTCTGGAAAATTCTTCTCCTTTTCTTGGTATCTGTCTCTGACAATTTAGTAAAGAACAGAAGCTTCTAGCTATGTTGGGATTCCTGTCTGTGATAAATCCCACATACCCACTTGAAGTATTTACCCTTAGAACAGCATCCAGTTATTTTACAGCCTCTTCTTTCTATCTCTTCCCTTTTCTGTCTTTATTTGCCATTAGTGGCTCTATGTTGCCTTATGTTGAGCTGAGTGCTTTTATGTATTGAGCTGAGTGCTTTTATGTATCATTTTCTTCAAAATATGGGGATATGGTTAAAGGACTTCAGAGTTTCTGGTCCAGATCACTAATACTTTTTGGCACGTAAGAGGTGTTACCTTTGAACGACAGTTACTTCACACTCGAAAGTTGAGTTCTGGCTCCACTATTGAGCAGAATGACTGTGGATTTCACCTCGGTGCACACTTCCTAGCTTGATATCACTGTAAAAGGCACCACAGACTATGTCCAGGTTGTCCTCATGCTATTGTGGTTCTCCATACACCTTGTTATCAACACAAGATTTGTGTACACTTAAACATTACCAACTTAGCATCTTGTTCCTTGTTGTGTTTTCATGTTTTAATATCTGTGTCTTATTTTGTGGTCTTGAAGATTTCCAGCTCTCAGAATGATTCTCAGTGCCTAATGAGGTCTCAGTAAACATGTGCTGAATGAAATCACATGTTGGCAAATTAATAATCTTTAAATAAGTAATCTTGTAAATAAACATGTTTGTAAAATTAATATTTTAGATAAATGCTCTTAGGCACTGTTAACCCTGTAAATATCCTGGGATCAGTAAAGAACATCTTGACATGGCAATAGTTGAATCTTTCAGGAGCTTCCCAGCTATCTGGTATGAGATAAGTATTACACAGAAAGGCTCAGCAAGGCTGAGAGAAGTGCGTTGAAAATACCAGCTTTGTCTCTGGCTCTGTGGCCTGGAATAAGTCACCTATCTTACTTGATTCTGTTTCTTAACCCCTAACACAGATATTGTAGGATCTTTGTTGTGTTCTACTCAACAAACAAAATAATATACATAAAAGCAAAACCATGCAGACATATATTTTGCTATAATAATAATTATTAAGGATTATGTAATACCTCTTACAGTTTATGAATACAAATATAACCATGCACTTGTATACATGAACATGTGTAGATCTTTGTATCTCCCTTATTAGTAAATCACATTCAGGAGGAGAAATAACTTTATTCTGAAGTTTATTCCACTGAAGTCCTTTCATCCTTTCTAAAGTGGGGAAACTGATCCCACCCGCCCACAGTCATCACCTTGTTTGTTGCCTTCAATCATTTATGTGACAACTGTCAATTTCCATGTATTAAAATGTGCGTAACTTTGTGATGACAAAGGCCTCATCTGTTCACAAGTGTCTTTCCAGAACTTAGCAGAGCTCCTGGCATGTAACAAAAGAAAGAAAGAAACATTCAATCTGTCTGGAATAAGCAAACAAATGAGCTAACCTCAAGGAGCTCTACAACTGGGTGGGATTTGGATCAACAGATACATACTGAGAACCTACGGGACACCAGGGACTGTGCTAAGTAAGATCCAAAGATCTTTCTTAACATGGAAATAGTTTCCATGTTAGAGGAGCACACAATTAGTCAGGGAGACAAATAAAATGAATATAATTTCGACAAAAGATAGCGAAAGGAGGCATTCACAAGTGCAGTGGGTCTGTTGAGGAGGACTTAGCATATTCTGGGATTCGGGAAAGATCTGTGGAGGTGCTAACACCCAAGGTAAGTCTTGAAGACAAATGGAAGTGAACGTGGCAGAATGGAGGGAGCAGTATTCCAGGACAGTGG